AACACTCAAACAACAGCCAAAGCTGTGAGACTGTGACTGAGGGCTTTGTGTTTTGGCTCAGTCTTCTTCTCCATCTCACTCCCACCTGGCCAGAGTTTTTCCTACATTCCCCAGGCTTGGTGTAGATGGACCACCAAGGCTCAGATCACTGCTCATCCCAGCTGAAACTCTCTGTGCTTGTGAAGACACAGGATGGGTAAACTGGGAAATCCATCTGGACTGAGTTGAGGAAGAGGAGCCGAGGCTTGCATCTCTGCCACTGAATGCAGGGGGCTGATGGAACAGCTAAGAGCATGGTGCATTTAAAGGGAAACTTGTGGCTCATTTCAGGCATTGTCGCTGCATCTTCCTCTTTAATCTCTGTCCCTCCATGAAACCTCCATGATAGAAATGACGCTTGTAGGGCTCAGGCTCAAATCTAAAAAAAACCTCTCTGCCTGTGGAACTGGGGTAAGAAAGCCAGGTTGTACCAGCTTCTCCTAACTCTCATGACCCGGATTTGCCTGCTAAGCTAATTCCTTCCCCTGCCTCGTTTACCAAAGTCTTTCTGTTGCATGCAGTCATGTTTCATGTTGTCCATTCCTATCATGAATTGCAGATGCTGCTGCAGGTCCTCACGGCTCCTCCACCACCCAATCTTCCTACGGCAAAGACTGGGTGACTGTCTCCATGACAAGTCAACCACCCATTTACCTCCCTGCTCAGCCTGAGGCCCCTCACACTCCCTGCCACTCTCCCTCTAAGTTGTGAGCAAAAAGAAAAAAAAGACATTCTACTTTGAAATATTTGCCAGCTTCTGTCACTTCTCAGTAGCTCTGACATGGCTTTTCTGGCCCGTATTGTCAGTTGGTCTTCAGAAGAGGGGGAGATGGCGTATGTATCTGCTGCCCAGGTCAGTAGCCACTGGCCACTTGCGGCTTATGAGCCTCTAAAATGTGTCCAGTGTGACCAGAGAACCAAGTCTCTGTAGCAGCTCCATCATTATAGAATTGTATCTCTATATGTGCACTGTACAGTTCACCCAATTCAAGGTATAATTCCATTACACAACCCAACCACGTCATCATCATTAACTTCCAAATATTTCATCACCCCCAAAAGCTGTCACCCAGACCTCAGACCCTCAGCTCCTGGCAACTGCAGCATGTCTGTGCAGATCTGTCCACTCTGGACATTTTATATAAACAGAAGCATGCAGCATATGGCTTTTTGATCCTGGTTTCTTTCCCTTTTCAAGGTTCGTCCGTACTGTGGCATGTACCCGTACTTCGTTCCTCGTTATTTCTCAATAATGCTCTATTGTATTGATGCGCCCCTCACTGAGTGATGGACAGTTATTTGTTCATTCACCGGTTGATGGACATCTGCATTATGAATAGGCTACTGTGGCTGAGGAATAATGATGCCCATTGTTTTAGGCTTCATGGGCAGCTGTGAATAATGCCGCTATGAACAGTCGTGTATAAGCTTTTGTGTTCCGTTCGCATTTTCATATTTCTTGGGACTTACTGGGCCATGTAATAAATGTGCACAATCTTTTTTAGGAAGTGCCAATAGTTCCCCAAAATGTCTGCACAGCTTACTCAGCTTCCGGCCGTGTGTGAACGATTACAGGTCTCTGCACTTTTGTTGACTCTCTTTTTTTTGGTTTTGCAAGACAGGGTTTCTCTGTGTAACAGTCCCGGCTACCCTGGAATTCCCTCTGTAGACCAGGCTGGCCTCTAACTCATGGAGCCTGCCTCTGCTTCTCAAGTGTTGGGATTAAAGGTGTGTGCCACCATCGCCTGTCTATCACCCTTTGTCATTTTTGGTATAGCTGTCCTAGTGGGTATGAAGTGATTCTTCAAATGGCTTTGAGATTGTTTCCTTTACTCCCAACCATGTTGAGTTTCTCTGCATCCCTGTCAGCCATTTGTGCATCTTCTCTGCTGAATCTATCTATCCAGGTCCTTTGCCCATGCTCATATTGAGAAGTATCATGCTGTTGGGTTCTTTCCATGTCCTAGACACAAGCTTCTCATCAGACACATGATGTACAAGTGTTTCCTTTATTCTTTTGTTCTTTTTCTCATTTCCTTGATGGTGTTATCTGAAACATGAAAGTCTCTAGTTTTGCTTCTAATTTTCCTTGGTTTGTCACTACGCTTGTGGCATCTTTTCTTGAGACCATTCTTAGATCTGGGGCTAGGAAGATGTGCTTCTTTCATCTATTCCAAAGTTTATATCATTTTGGCCCTGTGGTGTTTTGTTAATTTTATATTGTAATAATAGGCATGGACATAAGGAAACTCTGAAATTTGAACCCTTCTCCGTGTGGAAATAGAGACCCTAGTTACACTGAGCTTGCTGGTCTAGCTTTTGCAAAACTGTTTCTTCATTTCAATCTTTTAGCTCTGTGCCCTTCGAACAACATCTCATTCTCCCTTCCTCCTCCTCCCAAGCCTCTGGGGTTTCTTTTTGAACCGACTTTTTTTCAGTTAACTTAAAGGTAAGTAAGTGGATGGCACCGGCGGCTGCCGTAGCCGATGTGCCGCTCTGCTGTTACCAGTATTGCCCTTTGTCACCTTCACAGCTGGCCGCCGTCCCTTGCCAGACTGGCACTGTACTTGTCATCATCCCGTGAGTCTCACTGTTCCTCTGAGAGTATTCGAAACCATTTCACCGAAGGCTCAGCACCCTCCAGTCATCATCAGCCATGATTACCATAGGAGTGCAGATGCTTTGGTACAGCCCGCCTCTGTTGGCCTCTGGCTGCTTCCTCTCTCCCTGAAACTCCAAACACACTGGTCTTCGTAATAGACTTTGAGCTCGTCAAGCTCTGTTTTCATTAAGATTCTTAGCCATTCCTTTTCTTTCCCAGAGCCTGTGTTTAATGATCATTGAGTTAACTCCTCTCTGTCATTCTGGTCTGTTCATGTGTTACCTCTCTCAAATAGTATATCTTAAATTTCTTCATAGCTGACTGTATGTCAATTTGTTCATTTGTGTATGCTCTGTCATTCAAACTCCATGAAGGTGGGAGCCTCCTCTTCCCAGTTCCTACAGTGCCTTGCACAGGGTAGATTTGAGTACATAAAAGACTGAACTTACTCCTTCCATGGCTATGATCTTTGTTAAATAAGCCACCCCTGTCTCATGTCACATGACCCTCAGTGGAGCGTGTCTTTGAAGTGCTGTATCCACTGTTACGATAACCTCAGACCCAGTTTCTAGAAATAGACACTCTCAGTTTAGAACAGCTGTCCGCAAGGACAGGATGAGTATCCCCAACTTGGGACCCGAAGCATTTCCTTGCTCGAAGATTTTGAACTGTGGAATGATTAACATAGACTCCACGCATTGACTGTCCCTAACCCAACACCTAAAAGGCTTCAGTGGGATTTCAAAGCACTTAAGATTCTAGGTTTTCAGATGAGGGATACTCAGCCCACAGGTCAGTGTGTTCTCTCTCTTACTGAAATTAATTTAGCGGCTCCCTTTTCCAACTTTCTCTATGCTTACTTTAAATGGGGTTCTCCCTTACCTTCTCCCCTTTCTTTATCACCTCTCCCCTCGGTCCCCAGAGCTTTCTGTTTATGGCCATGGTGGAATCTCTTTCTGAACTCCTAGTGTGACTCTTAACAACCCCCAGCAACAGTCATGAAGTTGAGGACTGTGGTTATTGCATTCCTGGTGCCTGCCACTCTGGGCCAGGAGCAAAGCTGGACCCTAGAGCTGGACCCAGGGACCATCCCACAACCAGAACTCACCTGGAACTCAATCCGATTAGCACACCACAGATTAGATGAGCAAGTCAGCCCAAATACGTGTGGGTACCAGCAGCTGCGCTGGCAATGTGAACACAGACATCCCTGAGACCTGGCTCGTGTGTTGTCATCATTCCCTACCCCCTCCTCCCAATCTGAACCTGAGAACCAAGGAGGGACAGAGATGGAAGCCATTCCTGACTTGAAACTAGTTTAGCACACTCAGGATCAGAGTCAGGTTTCCACAGAGCGGGTGCCACCAAGCAGGGTCTCTCAGCCTTTGTAGCTACTAGGAACATTGCTAGGGACTCCTGGGAAGAAAGAAGTGTGAAAATGAAGCTTTAAAGTCCTAGCTAAGCTTGAAACACCTCTCACTGGATTGCTTTGACTCCCAGAAGCTCATGTGGTTATGAGAGAACAAGAACAGTGAATATCTCCCCAAATAGAGTCAGTCACTGTGCACCAGCTTTGATGCTGTACAGCCCTGCATTAGCTAAACTTCAAAGAGAAAGGTTCGAGAAGGTCCTCTGGCTGAGGCACTTGGTGTGCTCTTAGACCAGTCCTTGTTCTGCTTGTTTCCAAGCCAGACCAAAAGATAACTTTGTTGTAGGAGTCTGCTTGTTTGTTTCCCGGCCGCCCAGACTCCCGAAATAATCACACAGAAACTGTATTAATTAAATCACTGCTTGGCCCATTAGCTCTAAATTCTTATTGGCTAACTTTTACATCTTAATTCAACCTATCTCCATTAATCTGTGTATCGCCATGAGGCTGTGGCTTATCGGGTAAAGTTCAGGCATCTGTCTCTGGTGGGGCTCCATGGCTTCTCACTGACTCTGCCTCCTTTTTCCCAGCATTCAGTTTAGTTCCCCCCCCCCCACCGCCTAGCTCTGTTCTATCCTATCAGGCCAAGCCAGTTTCTTTATTCACTAACCAATAAGAGCAACACATAGACAGAAGGACCTACCATACCATAACTTGGTTTTAGAAAACAGTACATTCAGTGCAATCAACTATTAGTTTTGTTTGAAGATCTGCCACTTTGTATTATTCATTTGAGGAAAACATAAGATGATAAAACAATACCATTATAATGAGAAAGTACCTTTAGAGTCACGAAGGAGTCTGTTTTGAAATGACCTCAGGCTTTGAGAGATGTTCCTACCACTCCATTTTCTATGTTCTTGGGGGCAGGGGGGACAACAGATTGTACTGTAGCCTTCTCAATACTGATAGCACTTCTTTGTTTTCCAGATACTCCACTGGCCAGCGGTCACGCCACAGACTATTTGTTTGTTGGAAACATTGTTTACACAGTAAGTTTAGCACTGTTGAGCCATCCCTAAAAGGGCACACATGTGGCTTATACCTCCCCAGTTATGCAAGGCTCTCCACATTAAAGTGAGATACTCCATGTCTTTATGGCTATCAGATTCCCTGAAGTTCAGACTTCCGATCGAGAAATACTTGCGTCACACCAAACTTCTCTCTTTTTTTTCATAGTACGTTGTGGTTACAGTTTGCCTGAAAGCTGGTTTGGAGACAACAGCTTGGACTAAAGTGAGTTGTCTTTGGAATAATTTCTTTCTCCATGGTAGATAGTTGTATGCAGTCACTTCCATTTAATCCTTGGGGAAACAATAAATACTATACAGTTGTCTTGTTTCGAATTTTGCAAGTAAAACTGTTGTAGATCTTTATGAAGGCAATTTGGAATTTGGAATCCAACTACTCCTGGTGCTCTATTTGCTTGGCGCCTAGCAAGCTTACTATTATCTGCCTGAAATGAAAACTGTCATTATAACTGAGGGGTGTGGGGAGAGAGGAAGAAGGAAAAGAGTAACGAGAGTGAGGGAGGAGAGAGAGAAAACATACAGAAGGAGAAATCAGAAAATGTAGTATTTGCACAGAACTTTACTATGGCACTCCTGTGCTATCTTTCACTCTCTGACCCTTGTGTGCATTCTCCAAAAAGAGGGCGCAGTGTGGCATGGACAGTTTTGTCATCTTTTTTTTCTCCTTGAATCTCATGTTCTGAGTCCTTAAAGCACACTTCTGTGAAACTATTGCTCATGAATAAAGAATACAATTTGCATAGCTATCCAGGTTCATTCTGTCAGCATCCCATTTCTTATTATTTCCAAGATGGGGTAACAATCACACTTCACAGTGTCTGTCTACCAAGGTGTAACTGTAGCTCACTGACCTCCCACTCTGGTGACAAACAAACAGGGTAGGATGGAAGGTCACCAGGGAGCCAGGGCATCTCTTAAAGGATGATGGCAGATGGGAGGTGGGAATAGCGACTTAGCCAGGAATATTGCAGGAAGAGGCAGTGAGTGTTGCAATACAGAAGTGCTTGTTCAAAAATAGAACCTGAAAGGCAGAGCTTGCAAGGGATTAGAGGGTAGGCTGTAGAGAGAGACGTCGGGGATTGTATTAAGAGCACAAAGGAGAAAGACCAACAACTTAAAAGGGCATAAGCTGCCCAAGGTTTATTTCATCAAAGTGAAGTATAGAGTTTTAGTTTCTAGAGCGAAGGAAGAGAAGAAGGCGGGGACACACAGGGAGATCTAAGGGGTGCAGAGTGGAACAGGGTAGCAGGACTCACTTTAGTGTTCTGTAGGATATGGGGTAACTGTACTGAGTACCTGCTTTCAGAACAACTGGAAGGAAGAATTAGATGTTCCCACATCCAGAAATTATGTTTTGTGGACGTGATATGCCAGTTACCCTGGTCTGATCCTTGCTCACTATAAACATGCATTGGAGTGTCACAGTGTACCTGTGAATGTGAACAACTGTACATGGATTTTTAAAACTCTATCAAATATGCTATTTAAAGTTTTTAGAGTAGTATTAGCCATTCTGAGTTGTTTTTAAATAATCTCTGCAATAAAAAGGACAGATGCTGTCTTTAGTTGATAAGAATGTTCTGTCCATTTGTCCAACTCACCTCTCTCTCACTAGATGACTGCACCCTTGCTTCAAAAAGCAGACCATTGAGATAAGCCCAGGGATGGGTGGGTCATGGCTGGGGCATGGATTTTAGAAGAAGGTGAGACTCACAGCACCTTCCTCTTCAGGGTAGTGTAAGCCTGCATTAATTAGACGTTATCATTACAAATCCTAAGACAAGGAACTTACTGAGAAAGGCAGAGTTCTCCAGTAACTAGTATATCCTCAGTTTCTCCCCATCAAGAAAGGGTCATGAATGTGGGATGGGGGTTGGACAACTTATGGGCTGGAGTGGACCCCGCCCCCGCCCAGGCCAGCAGAAAGCCCTGCCTAAGCATGTGTTTCCTCCACAGTTCAGTCACCTGGCCGTGTGGGGAAGCATGCTGATCTGGCTGGTGTTTTTTGGTGTCTACTCAACCATCTGGCCGACCATCCCCATCGCTCCTGACATGAAAGGGCAGGTCAGTACTGTGAATTGTGTGTATCTCTCCACTGTGGTTGTGCACATGTGAGTGAACCAGCTCTCTGTGTCTTGTGACGGTGAACTTCAGCAAAGTCTATTGCCGTCTGCTTGCGTCAGAACTTAACAGTAGATGAACCAATTCAATCGCAGCTGGAAGAGGTTGCCTCATCCACAGAAGTGGTATGAGACATTTAAATACCATGAAAAATGTCACCCTGAGTCCTCTGACTTACACGGTGTGCCCACATTTCCTTAGTTATGTGTTGGCTGTGTGCAACACTGTTTGTAATTGTATACAGAATGGGAGTGGTTTTGAGGCCATCATGATCAAAGCTTGTGTTGATTACAGGTTCAGTGATAAGTATATGATTGCTTAATTGCTAACTGGTCACTTGTAAACTATCAACGTCAGAACTCTAGTAACCAGATACGTGGTGTGCCAGAATCTCTCTCCGTGTTCATCTCATCAAGCTAGCCAGAGAGGCTGAGAATAGAGATCTTACATTTGTTTGAATTGTTTCTGATTTGACTTTCCATCACCTATGCCCAATTGTCTAACATTGAGCCACTAACAATGGCCAGTTAGGTCACTGAACTCTATCACATCCGGTGTGGAGAGAAAGGATTTGGTATGGCCTATAGCTCTAGCCTCTTCAGTTCCCAAGTGAGACAGTATGAGTCCACCCCATAAATGCTGGACTACACATAGTCAGGATCCTCTTAGATCCCCAAGAGAGAATGCTCCATGCCGTAGGCTTTCAGAGCTGCTAGGAGCCTCACTAGCTAGGCTCATCCCTCTTTGTAAAGTAAAGCACATTGACCAACCACTTTAGGCCCATTCTCTAGGCTCTGTGTTTCTTTCCCAAATAGCCAGAAACCCGCTGTCTGGTTCTGCCTTGGCATCTCTCTGGATGCAAACCAACATGTACAAACCTAGGTCTCAATTATCAGTTAGACTGTCATTGTCACTAACACTAGACATCTCTTATAGGGCATATGCTCTTAGAGTGGATGTTCGTGCTGGTTTAGCCTCCTGAGTGTGCAGTTGGGTGGTTACAATACCGGAAACAGAAGCAGGGCTAGGAAGAGATTACCTGAGCATCAAGGCATGGCAATCCCGACAACCGGCTCTGCATTGCTCTACAGAAATGAATACAAACCCCTGGGTCTAGAGACATGTCCAAGAGCTTTTGTTCATGAGATAGCCCGGAGCTTTTACCTGGTAAATCAGTCAGCCAGTACCCCTATGTGTGCGGGACCTCCATGAAGACCGGCCCTGTCCTGCAGGAGGGGCCTTGCATGCCCCTCATTGATGTCTGTAGAGGAAGGAATCAAACAGTATGCACATGACTAAAATAGCAGAGAGCCACTGCTGGCAGGATGGGGTCAGTGGGTGCCCGGCTGGCAAACAAAACCCTTCCTTGGCAAAGGCTTCCTTTCCTTGACTGCTCCAGCAAGCCCCGCTCTGTGGATGTTGGCTTCGGTAACTCCAGTTCTAAAGTGGCGAATCAGGCCGCTTGCCAAGTTGCAGTCTCATAAAGTGTCTGACTTTTAGATTACAGAGGGGCGAGTTCATCATGCTGCCGCTAGGGTGCTAGCAGCTCCCCAGGGCTGGGGCAAAGGTCATGTGTGTCTTATGCTGGCTGACAATAGTTCAGTCCACAAAAGACACCATACCTTTATAGACAGTCCTATGGTATCATATGTCCCGGTGACATCCTATCTTAGTCATCTTGGTATATATAGGTACTCTCGAAGGGAAATGAAGGGGTCACCTTAGACTCCGTCTCCCAGATGTCCCCTTTATTAAGTGACACTTGGCACTCCTTGCAGACAGTAAGCTGTTCTCATCAAGAAGGGGCCAAGAAGTGCTCCAATTTGGCTAAATTGCGCAGCACTTTGGTATGAACACTTGGTATTTTACTTAAACTGTGGCATGTTCTTCCTGCCTGTGGAGCGGTTTCGACAGGAAGCAAATGGGTCATGTTGGAACAACACATCTGGGTAAGACTGAGGCTTCTGCTCGGCATCAACTGAGAGGACCGATAGAGCTTTCATCAAAGACCTACTTAGCATCTCTAGTCTTCCTCTGGGGAGAGATCCAAATGGGAAGGACGTGAGAGTACTGTGTGTGGCTTTCAAGCCATGGCCCATGGCAGCATCTCCCCTGCTGCCTGATTCGGCCGTGTGTTGATTCTCTGAGTAGTAGCAAGGACCTATCAAACACCGTGTGATGGTGCTGGACAGACAGATGTCTAGAGCGTGTCCGGAACTAATCTGACATCCCACATGAAGGCTCAGAAGGGCTCACTCCAGTCACCAGAGGAACTACGTCATCAAAGGAGACAGCGGTTGACTTTAGGTGTGGTCAGAGGAGGAAGAGTCCCAAGGGGCACTGTTGCAAGCAGGCCCAAGCCACATACACACTCCCAAGATAAGGATCATTCTAGAAAAAAAAGGATGCTTTTTGGAAGTTATTATTTCAAGAATGTGTCTAGTGATTTTCATAAACTGGGCTTTGAAGTTGACTCCACAGTGGGGTTTTAGCAGATGAACCTAATTCTTGGAGGCTCCAGGACTGGGGTGTCCCTCCCCAGAGCCAGGGACAGCAATAGCAGCAAGCGTTCTGTCTATTCATAAAAGCTTCAGCCATTGAAAAGATGCATTGTGTCTGCAGAGATTTCCCCCACCAATGTGATTAGACATTTCTTTGTCTAGTCCGTCCTGTTTGGAGTTTTTCTCACAGGGTTGAAGGCCCTTGCGGGCAAAGGGAAGGAAGGGCTGTAGAATGAAGGGCGACTTTCCCACTGTCAGAGTTTCACTTTCCCCAGGGCACCTTATGGTGTGGTGAGGAAAAGCCCAGCCGCCACCCAGGAAGTCTCGGTGAACATTTGTGAAATCAAAGTAGCTACCCGTGGACTCTTCTAAAGACACAGCGTTCCTTTAAGGGACACCACATCTCTTCATTTTTCTAGGAGCACTCTTAGATCTAGAGAATTTGGTTTGTGTCTGTCTGTCATGGTGAATGGCATGGCCCTGGGCTATGGAGAATTGATGAGGATGGTTTTCCCAAGATAGCATAGCCATGCAATAGAAATTTCTCTATCACGGCATAAATACGCTGAAGTAGAACACAGCTAAGTTTCTTAGTTTACCTCCGTCCCCAAGGGTCCCTGCTGGTGTGGGGCTTCCAGGGAAACTGGATCAAAAGCCAGGACAGGAATGTGCTGGAATTTTCTCTAGGCAGTTCCCAGGGCTTCTGACTTCAGGGCTGTGTGAAGGGGGGCCCCACATTTCACCTTTGTTCCTAAGTCAGGAGATGGAGACCCTGCCCCAGTCAGATGCCACTGCCCCCTCGGCACATCTCTTGACCTGCAGTGACTTCCTAATCAGCCAAGTCGGAAGAAGGTCACCCAGTCTAGTCACTCTGGATAAACAGCCCGTGGCTGGGAGCCTAGCCTAGAATGACTGAGCCATCTCTCCAGCCGTGGAAATAGCCTATGGGAAGTTAAGAGCAGGCATTCTCCTTTCCTGGAAGAACAAATGAGTCTGAATCTTTCTGCACAGAAATATTCTGCGCAATGTAAAACCCCAATTCTTTTAGCCAACAAATCTTAAAGATTCTAAATGAGTTTTTCTCAGTAAGGACTTGCATTGGACACACCCAGGTTGTCTGTTAAAATGACAGTCCCTCAAGATAATGTGCGCATGTAATTATGCATACACAGAGACGCGGAGGGAGGAGAGAGAGAGCTGGGTGTGGAGGCCTGGTTTGGAAGTCATTGCTCTGAAATATCCCACTGTAACATTGTAGCTCCTATAAGAGATGGTCCGCTGAACATAGCCACACTTGACCAAGTTCTCCCGAGCAGGAGTTGTGTGAGCTACCCCAGGTAGTCGCAAGTGCCTCAGGGCAGCTCTGCTTTCTAAATAGGGAATTGTACCAGAGACATTACGTGGCTTGCCATGGAAAAATACTCCTCATCAACTTTTTTCCCTTTAAAGTTCATTTCATTGCTAATAAAAGAAGGCGAAAGCCCTCGCACTTCAAAGCGTACAAACTGCTAACTCTGACTTCAGTGCCAAACACCAGGCCCCAGCCAGTCAGTTACTGGCATGGCATGGAGTGGGCTTTTCTCCTCTTCTTCTTCTTCTTCTTCTTCTTCTTCTTCTTCTTCTTCTTCTTCTTCTTCTTCTTCTTCCTCCTCTTCCTCCTCCTCCTCCTCCTCTTTCTCCTCTTCCTCTTCTTCATCTTCCTCCCCCTCTTCCTCCTCCTTCTTTCTCATCCTAAATATTGGGAGTGAAAAAAAGAAAAAAAAAAAAAATAAATAAATATTGGGAGTGGATTTATTTGTGAGCTTACCAAGCACACTTGGGGATACAGTGTACACCCCACTGGGCTAAGTGCCAACAAAGGGAGACATGGTGGAGGCACGTCATTTTGCTGTCACTAAGTCAAAGTGATCTGTGTTTCTTCTTCCCCGAGAAGTGTTCCCCTAGATTGTATAACCCATTTGACTTCAGGTCTGGGAATGCCCACACGAAACGAGAAAACATTGAGTTGGTTTGTAAGTTGTGTGTGCTCCAGTAGGCAGGCTGAGAAGGCATGCAGGCCGCCCTGCTCAGCTGCAGTCCTTCCTCGGTGTCTCCCAAGGACCAGGGCTGCCAGGTGGGCATTGTCCAGGCACCAGATGAGGCACTGTCTTCAGGTGGATGTCTGTGGTCTGGTATGGGGTCGTCTGCCCTCCTTCACCTTTCCCAAGGCATTTTCACACATTTTCTGACAAGTCGACATGTTGAGGGGCACAGCCCCTCAAGAGTTGTTTCTTCCCCTCACTAGTAGTAAGTGGTTCAGAAGTTTGGGGGAGGCATTAGCTCACAAGAAATCCAGCAAGAACCACCCACCTTCTCAATAGTGTGAATGCAACTGTGAGCCTGATGCAGTTGGAATTCTGAATGTTCCTCAAACGCTAGCATATATCCAGTTTCCCAGCCTCT